AGGTAGGCAGCAGATTCAGATACACAAAATCTCTTTGATAATATTACTCTAGTGTTGGGGATGATTTATTGCATTCTCCATAAAAGCCACACTAAAATGGAAGCACAGTGGTCACTGACATTAATATTTTAATGCAATTTTCTTTTATTCCATTAAAGCATCAGCTGATCAATGGCCAAGTTTCACATGTGTGTTTCCGCTAAACGAGCCCTATGTTTAGTGAACAGATACTCCATTAAAACTGCGAATCAGTGAGTTTTGAATAATGGTTTTTACTTCAGCTGATAAAATGACTTAGCTGTTATTAGCTATTGGTAATCTGGGTATATGTTTTACTAAATGTTTTTCATAGACTTTGAAGCAGTATATTTTGTAAACTTCAGTGACATGAAAGAGAATAAAGGAGAAAAATGAGTCATTGACTCTGAGGGAGTAGGGCAGTCCTCATTGGAAAGTGCACATTTAAGCCAATTTTGAAGGATGAGAGCGCTCTTATTTAGCTGAGGGGTGGTACCCAGAAATGTATTGGCATGGTGTGTGTTGTAACAGAGCAATGGCAATGTACACAATTGTGATAGGCTGTAGGGTACAGGGAAAGACGTTGAGATTGGAAAAAGACCTAAAATAAGTACAGGAAAGCCTTGTGTGGCTCTATCCCCTAGATACTGAGAAACCATCAGAAGTCTTCATGTAGTGAAATGGCATGATCAGATGGGAGTTTTAGCATGATCTCTCTGAAAGCAGTTTAGAAGATGAAAGTAGACAGAAGGCAGCAGGGAGGCCAGTTAGAAAGCCATTGCATAGTCCAGGTAATGGTTGCCGGCACTTATAGGATATTGAGGGAGGCTATAAGAGCCTGTTTATTGGGGTTAAATGAAATAAGTAGTCTCCTGCTGCCCATTCACTACCTGGCATGATCATTCTTGTAGTTTGGCCCCCAAAATGAAGCCTTGGATTAGTCAAGTACCCTAGTGTCAGGGACTTCACACTGTGTACCTTGTACTCCTCCAATTGGCCTAATCTGGTGGCTGGGCCAGTGACTAGGAGTCATTAGGCTGGAATGAGGACATAGAGATTATCTAATTTATCACCTCATCTCATATACAGAAATGGACCCAGAGAGCCTGAGCATAAAAATGAATGTAAACCACTTTGAAGATATCAATATGTAATACAACAAGCATTGTTAATTTCCTACTACTTTGTAACTCTGTATTGTCTGTACTGTTCTTTTGCTATTTTGTAAAAGGTTGTCTGTCTGTTAAAGTTTTCCCCCTTTTATTTTTAAAATTAAAAAAATGAATGTACATACTGCCTCAAACTTACTAAAAGACTCTTTCAAGAAGTATGCTGAAATGTTATTTGGAATGTGGAACCTAATACCCTGTAGAAACCCAGAACAACTTGCCCATACAAAGCCCGTTTGCACTTTAGAGGCAGCCTTGACCTCAGATCATAAAGCAAGAGAAAGATTAAGGGAATTAAAAAGTGGCATGCTCTTGGTTGAAGGAGCCCAGTTGTCATAAAACCCTTCCTCGTGCAGGCTTGAGTTCTTCAGGTGTGATGGTGCAGCTGGGGCTCCTGATGTAGCAGGCCTCTCTCATGGAGCCCCGAGAAGCATGAGAAGCAGCTTTTCTTGTGTAGAGTATCAGGCTTGAATCAAGAGATCTGGGTACAAATCCCAACATTACCCAAATTCAAGACCTTTGTTGCTTTTCACTTTCCATGCTGCCTTGGCAGGTGCCCAGCAGGTAATAGAAACTCAGTAACATCATTGTGTACATTTCCTAAGGGCAGGTCCTCTTGTTCCTGTGTACAAAGCAGCGTGGTAGAGTTGCCTAACACAGCAAGACTCTAGAGAGAGCCAGCCAGCCAGGTGAGGCTGTGGCTTCTGTTTCCTGGTGATGGCCATGGAGGGTCTGGCGGATCTGCTAACCAGCCTTCCCCCGCCTCCCTGTGCAGCTTTAGTGAGGCTTCCTGGAGCTGTTTTCTGTCAAAGAGGATGGCCTTCTGTGCCCTACCATCATTTCCAACAAGTGAGATCATGTTTTGTAGACATGAGATGATTTCTTTTAAGTAAAAGAAAAACCACATGGTGTGTTTGCTCTAGGGAGTTTTTGTCATCTCCTTAGTAGATAATCCTACCTTCTTCCTCTCCTATAATATCCTTTTCTTCTGCCATCACAAATACCCCCATAATTACTTTCTACATTTGAAAGCAAATAAAGAAGTATTTTATACAGTATAGTACAAGATGATTTATGTTACATACACAGAGATACACACACAACACACACACACACACACACACACACACACACACACACACGCACAATAAAAAACAGAATGGTGAGGGAATTAGGAGTCCTGGGGTAGAGTGGAAATTAGGCTGTTATTTTAAATAGAGTATTCAGGTTAGCCCTAATCTAGAAAATAAGATTTGATGGAAACAGAAGGACAATGATGGAGGTTGCCCTGGTAATATGGCAGAAGACAGAGGAAACAGCTAATGTGTAGGCCTTGAGGCAGGAGCAAGGGATAGCAAGGAGTCCAGGCTGGCTGGGGCAGTGAGACGCGCGGGAGAGAGGGACATGAATTCAGAGAGGGAATGGGATCAGATTATGCAAAGCCACTGCTTCTCTAATTACCTGTGATGAAGGACTTGTATTTTCCTTCACTGAAGATCAATATTTTTTATAAAATTTACTGAAAATGAGTTATTAGAAAATAAAATGTTTTGAAAATACTAAGGATAAGTCCAGTGTTTTATATTTACATCATATAAGTTACTCTTAACAAAATTAAAATAAAAATTTCTAAGTGTCAGCTTCACCTTTCTTTGCTCATTTCCTAGTAGCTCACACTGTGGACTCGCGCCAGGCCAAGGTGTACACTGAATTGCACTGAGGGCTACCATCAGAAGTTGGCCCTTACTCAAGCACAAAGGACTCCATTGCCTAGTATCAGACAGAAACCCTAGTCTAACTCATGTGTTCTGTTGATGAACCACTCAGCTAGAGGATGGAGTGCAAAGAACCTAGGGAAAGAAGCAGAGACACCAGCCATTGCACTTGAACTTTATAGGCAAGAGATGGTGGTGGCTCAAACCAGGATGGTAACATTGGAAAAGACAAAAAGTAGTTGGTTGTGGATACATTTTTAAGGTAGATCCCACAGAATTTCTTGGTGGATTTGGATGGAAGTACAAAAGGAAAGAGCCAAGTCAAGGGTAATTCTGAGGTTTCAGCTTGTATGATGCATAGAAGAATTGCTGTCTTCTGAGACTGGAAAGGGACTGAAATGGAACAGGTGGGGTGAAATCAAGAGTTCTTTTATATATTTTTTAATTTGACTATGAGTGCATTGAAGAATTATTCAAGTGAATTTAAACACCTGGATGTCATATAAAGACCTATGACTAAAAGTAGACCCTTAGGGCTAGCAAGAACTCAGCAGCTTTTTAAGTGTATCCTCTCATCTTGATTTTCCACCTCTAAGGCAGAGAAGTTACTGTATTTAAGAGGACCCAAGGAAAGCAGCTTATGAACCCCACCAATGATTGTCCTCTAACATTAAATTCTCTCCCTTTGGAAATTATTTCATATTTTATACCTAATTACAAGTAAGAGGACTATTCCCCTAGTTTCAAGGATTGGATAACCCTAAAAGTCCCAGAGACAGCTATAGAATTTATTAGGATTTAAGAGCAGTCTGGCTGTATCATCTGTTGTCTGTCTGATTGCCAGGATGAATTTGGCTTCTCTGATTGCCAGTGGTTATAGCATGTATGGCCAACCCTTAGTGATACTGAACATATAATAGCTCTGTTTAATGAAAATTTGTAAAAGCTAGAGTACAAAAGTATATGGTGGTCATAAGCCTAGTGCTTTAAAATATATGATATAAAGGCTTACACTTAACAAAGACTTGAAGGAAATACATTGAAATTTGACAGGATAAGGGACTATAAGTGCTACCTTCTATCTTAAACTTGTTGATTAGTAACCAAGCAAAATCTACTCTAATCATTGGCAGTAATAATAACCATTAGTAAGGAAAATGTATGTGACAGCTGTATGAACTTTCCCTGTCTTGGGCCTCCACAGCTTACTATCTGCTACCTGGATATGCTAATGACCAGTGAGGAGCGCCAGAAGCAGCTGAGGGACCAGTACTGCTTTGAGTGTGACTGTTTCCGGTGCCAAACGCAGGACAAGGTACGATGAATAGAACCATTTCCAGGTAACATCTCAATGCTCTTTCTAAGAATCTGCTTTTGTTTCACTAATTCAAAAGAAAGGATCCTGTCTGTGATAGGAAACAAGGGTAAGTAAAATAGATCTTTGAGCTGCATACATTTTATTTCTTGGAATTTCTCAACCACAAAACTGGGATTTAAGCACAATAAACATCTATTGAGCTTAGAGTATAGAAGATGTAAGACATTAAATATGTGACATTAAACATAATTAAAAGGACATGAATGGTCAGAATGCTACTACAGCATATAGTAAGAAGGTTTAATTACATTATTGTTGATAATAATTATTGTTTAATAATAAATATACTAAGTTTTATGTGGATTTTTCTTGAAAATTTGTTCTGTAAAGGCTTTCTACCTTTGCATTTTATCACATGGAGATCCCTTACTTAGCAACCTCTATTCTCTGAGGAAAGAAGAGCCAAAATAAATGCCTTAAGTACAAGTGAATGAACTATCCTAATATTATCATATAGCTTCCTTATTTTGAAACTTATTTACTTTCAGTTTGTACATAATTAGATTATCTGATAAAGTCTTACTTTTGCAGTGTTTACATTTAGAGAGTTCTCTTATAATCATTATCTCACTTAATGTCAAATACTTACAAAAAATTAGAAAACAACTCAAAAATGTTCAGAGATATGCCCTGCGGTAGTATGAAGAAAAAAGTGGCAGAACCAAGTCTCACATTCACACTTGATTAGCTGGAGTGCTTCTTTCACTGTACCATAGCTACCTGTGACTCCTGCTGTCAGCATCGGTGGAGATAGATAATTACTCTCACTGCATAAGAAAGGACCAGGATCTCATTCTAATGCTGCAGAAGTAAGCAAACACAATTAGTTTTGCATTTAAAACAACTTTGAGAAACAAATGAGAAAAAGTGGATCTGTGGCTGATACCTTGATTCTATAGTGTTCAATCCATTTTACTGTTAGCATTTTGCCCCAGGAAGCATGCCAGCAACCACTGGGGACCCCCTGGGATCCCACCTGCTGCACCCCCAGGCTGTAACCTGGAATGGCCCCAGCATCCCTGGTTGGTAATAAGAAGGCTCTGAAATTTAGTTCCTCTTAGTGCCATGAGTCTGGCAAAGCTTCAAAAAAATTTTGAATGAGCATGTTTTATTAAAAATTGTGAGTTCACTTTTATTATAATGGTTGAAATCTGGACTATAAGTAAACAATAACTCACCCAAAACTTGCTTTAGTAGGTAAAGTGCATTTGTCTTAAAAATTCTGGAGAAGTGATCCAAGATGAGAGCCATTGTGCATAGCTTGCATCATGAACCCCAAATCATTTTGTGTTCCTCTTATCCATCTTTAGCACAGGGCTTTGTTCTCATGGTTCTGAGATGACTGCCCCTCCTTCCCACGAGTGTTTACAAGATCTAGACAGGAAAAAGATGATAGTAAATGGCCAAGAACAAGAGAAGTCTTCCTAGAGGTCTTCCATTGTTCCAACCATGTCACTCTTCATTATAAAAGAGGCTGGGAAACTGTGTTTTTACTGTTTTCAGATTTGCTGCAAGAAGAAGATAAGAAAGAAGAGGTGTGTGACTTTTAGTTGGCCAGTCCACAATGTCTAGATCCCATTAACACCATTCTCTTTATTTTCTCTTACTGTGTTGGACTAAAAGTTTGTTTAATATTGTGTTAGTTGGGGTTCTACACACAGTTAGGTGTTGTTTTTCAGTGGGGATACTTTATGAGATATGAATCATTAGACAGTTTTGTCATTATGTAAACACAGAGTAACCCAACATACTGTTTAATAGTAAACTTATTTTTTAAGTACAAGGAGTTCATTCTAAAATAACAATATAGTACACTACATACATTAACCAGCAACTTAGTCATTTATTATCACTATCAAGTATTAGCACTATACATAATTATATATGCTATACCTTCGTACAACTGGCAGCACAGCAGGCTTGTTTCCGTCAGCATCACCACAAACACATGAGTAATGTGCTGAAATAGCACAGTGATTATGACATCGCTAGGTAATAGGACTGTTTTTATTTCCATCCTGCTCTTACGGGCCCACTCTGTTATATGCAGTCTGTCGTTGACCAAAATGCCATTATGCAGCTCTTGAGTCTGGGGAGCAGGTAGAAAAAGAAAGAGAAAGAGACTGATGATAAGGAATTAGCTTATGTAATCATGAAGATGGTGAAGTCCCAAGATCTGCAATGGCAAGCTAGAGACCCAGGAGAGACAGTGGTGTAAGTTGGAGTCTAAAGGCTGGCAGGTCAAGACCCAAGAAAAGCTGCTATTTCAGAGAACAAAGGCAAAATATGATCAGTGTCTCAGCCCCAGCAAGAAGTCAGTTCTCTCTTACGTGACAGGCAGCCTTCTTTGTCTCTGCAGGCCTTCAGTTGACTAGGTGAGAAACGCTTACATCAGGAAGATTCGTACGCATCCCTCATGAACTTGCAGGGGAGGCAAGGCCAGTGCAGACCTGGTTATTGAGGTGGTGGGCTTCTTGGTTCCCTATGCTGTAGCCTCTTCAACTTCTAGGTTTCTGTCCGTATTCAGCCCAAGAGCACAGCATCAGTGGTTTTTCAGCCTCTTTGTTAAATTAGTCTCTCTTTAGGCATTGGACTTGACTCTTCATATTTCTTATGTGAAATATTTTTTGTTCCCTGTTGACCTCTGGCACTGAACTTAGTGCTCCGTACTGTCTGCTTCCAGACCTGAGGCCCTGCAGCTTTGGCTTTGCTTATTCCTTTGCATTTTTCTTCTCTTGGTTTGAGATGATACTTACCTTGTTTCTGAATTGGAAAAACTAATTTTGGCCTCTCTTTTTACGTTTTACCTGCCATTACTATAGGTTTGGTCTAGGTGGGGGGAACTTCCAGGTCCAAACTTACATCTTGACTGCAAATCTGCAGTTCACCTTTTAAGTACATACTAAGAATCCAAGTATTTAGAGGCAAAGGAAAACGTGAGGATAAACAATGATTTAATTTTTCTGAAGGCTCCCAAGCTTGGGTGCACCTTTCACGCAGCACCAGCCAGTCTGTGGTGCAGGGGAGCTGTATTTTTTTTTTTTAACATAGGGCCTTCTGTGGAGAGGGTTGAGTAGAGTCATTCTGAAAATACAAACATTCTGGAAATAGCTTAAAGTTGTGTGTGTGTGTGTGTGTGTGTGTGTGTGTGTGTGTATAAAATCTCATTCCCTGAGGCTACACAATGGTACATACTCTTATTTTCTTCTGTACAAACAAAGCAATGTTAATTATCATGTTTAGTAGTTATTGCAGCTTCTTTTTAGAAATCCTGTTTTGTAACATGGAATTGCTTTGTGCTGATCCCTTCTGAAACCCAGCACAACACCTCTGAATTTCAGAGCCAGCACTCTACAAAGAAACAGCCTGAGCTGAGATGCAGAATGGCTTCGATTCCTCTGTGAGAGGCTGTAACTGTTTCACTGGGAATATGGGGAAGGGAGCGGGGAGAACCAAAGGAGGAAACAATGCCTGTCTGAAGTAGAAATAAAGGAATGTTACAGTTAAAGCTGTACTCAAAGGAAATGAGAGTTTTCTGCCCCCACTAAACTTACGGTAACTAAGTCTATTTGAAATGTGAGCAATAACTTAAAGGTCATTAGTACACCAAGATTTTTTTTCTTGTGCTTTCCCCTATTTTGCTAAATTAATTGTGAACAGGACTGCTTTGTGGTGGGATGATGAACTCAACCAACTCTGAAGTGTTTTATCCATCAAATTTTAACAATCTAAGCAAAATGTTTCCTGTCTCTAAAGTTTTTGTCATAACCAAAGTATGTTATCTTCAAGAAGAGTAGGAAGATTTATCAAGGACATGAAGTGTGTGTGTGTGTGTGTGTGTGTGTGTGTGTGTGGCAGTCAAAACCTAATGTTACTGTGTGTTGCCTACATCTTTCTTGTCTAAATAACCAGAAGAATGAGTTCCCTCAGAATGAATGCAGGGCTGGCTGGCTTTCATGTTAAAAAACAAAAAAGGAAAGAAGTTTATTGACTTCATAACCACATAATCCCGTCTGCAATGTTTCTGTGAAATACTGGGAGAGGTTTCTGGGCACTGTACAATGAGCTATAAAGTTGGCTGGGAGATAAACAGTGTAGCTCTTGTGCCTGCCTTGGAATGGGCTGTTCACCACATCCCGGGACAAAGCACTGCAGCTTTTACCTTTTCCCAAGGACAGACAACCACCAGCCTTCTTCATGTGGTCCTGTTTGGCCTAAGAGCCGACCTCAGGGGTAAGAAGAGGGTCTCTCCACAATTTGTGATGACATGAATACCATTTTACAACCTTTCCAGTTCTTACACAGACATTCTTTTCTCCTGGTTTTTGTTCTGCAGGAAGCTGTGATCAGAGGACAGATTCATTGGCTGCAGCTGATGTGGCCCAGAGAGTATGTATTCTTAGGAACCAAGTGCTCTTCCCAGCCCAGCACACTGCCCACAGTGTGCTCAGAAAGTGTTGTAGAATAAGGGGACTCTTTTTAGAAAATATTATGGATTAGAATACCTGCTAAAGTTTTGGTCCCTGTTATTATTTGCTAAGTATTCTGCTGAGTTCCTAATGGGCCTCATCTCCCTCCCATAACCTCTACAGCTCTATCAAGGTGATAGTTACTCCTGTGCCCATTGTACAGATGAGATATCTGAGGCTTTCAAGAGTATAGCCTTAACCACTCCACTGTGCTACATAACAGAATTTCTTTTCTTTTTTTTAAGCATAAGAAAAATTTATTGAGAGAAAGAAATTAAGAAGCACAGAAGGGGGTCTCAGAAAGTGAGTTATCCCCAGAATTTCTTTCCCTATCTTCCTTTTGAACAAAATGGAGTATACTTTATATTCAGTAAAACCCACCCTATTTGCTGTACAGTTGTTCCAGTTTTGCCAAATGCAAATGTCTATGACCACCACTCTCATGAAGATATGCAACTGTATCACCACCACTCCCAGATTCCCTCACACCACTTTGTAGGCACCTGTATGACCTTGTCCCAGCCCCTGCTGACTCCTGACCCGATGTCACCATGGCTTTTACCTTTTCCAAAACATCATATAAATTGAACCAGATGGCCATTTGGTTCTGACTTCTTTCACGTAGTGTAATGCTGTGTTATTTTTACATATTACATATTTACATATTTACATAATATTACATATTTACCTATTTACAAGTAAAAATATGTAATCTGAGGAGTTGATTCTCTTTATTGACAAATAATATTCCATTACATGATTATCCTACAGTTTATCATTTCTCTAGTTGAAGGACTTTTGGGTTGTTTTCTAGTTTTTCGTAGTGAGCAGCAAAGCGGCTATATTCACATGCAAGTCATCCTGTGAATATAAATATTCTTTTGGCAATATTTTTATTTAAGTTGATTTTTTAAATGATAGAAAAATATACTCCAGAGCTACCATGTACGTTTTGATATATGTGTACACTGTGTAATCAAGTTAAACATATCTCCTTCCTCAAACATTTTTCACTTTATGACTAAACATTAAAAATTCTATCTGCTAGCTTTAAAACATTTTTTTATTTAAAAAAAGAACAACAAATAAAAACAGAGCAAAACAATACAAAAACTGTAAAAATGATATAGATTTTCAAAACAAGATGATAGGAAATCAACAGTGGTTATTGTATTACTTACTGTTATCTTCAAAGTAGTTGCTCAGATTACCAGATACAGGTATGCAAGACTAGCTTTTTGAGATATATAGTACACCTTCACTATCTGTAGTCACCATAGTGTGCAGTAGCACATCAGAACTTCTTATTCCTATCTAATTGCAACTTACTACCCAGTGGTCAGCCTCACCCCATCTCTCTCTTTCCTCTATTCTCCTTAGCCTCTGGCTACCACCATTTCTACTCTCAACTTCTATGAAGTTGATGTTTTTAGATCTCACATATGAATGAGATGATGTAGTATTTATTGTTTTGTGTTTGGCTTATTTCCCTAACATGATGATCTCTAGAGCCATCTATATGTTTTTTAAAATGATGGGATTTTAATATTTTTAAGGGCTTAATAGTATTCTATTGTATTGTGTATTGCATTTTCTTTATTCATCAGTTTGTAAGCACACTTAGGTTATTTCCATTCCTTGGCTATTCAGAGATGGTAGTATCTTCAGGTCCCATGATTTGCTGATCATTCTCTAAGTTGCTCACATAATCTTCCTGATAGTTTTTTAAATCTTCCTGCTTCAACTTTTAGTAATCTCTGCTGCCTTTCCCAGTTTTGCCCTTTGGGAGGTTCCAGTGGTCATTCAAAAATTACTTTTATGTATTCATTTAACTTGAAAATTGCATCTCCTCCCTTATCTATTCACTAGGCTCAACAGTGAACCTGAAGCCTGACAGTTTTGATCCATACTCCTTAGCCCAAAACCCTTAAGATAAGCTATGATTAACTTGACAACTTTGAGATTTTACACGTCTCTGTCATACAAGTTCCACTGACATCCCCCTGTTAGAATTGGCGGAGGCAAAATAGAGAATGTTATAACTATTTGGGGCTTGCTGCTTTCCTAGTCATAGCTGCACCCTGCAGAGTATCTGCCTCCTTGGAGGGGTGAAGTTGGGAAACTGATGGCATTAGGGAGCTCCAGGAGGGCATGTAAAAGCAGCCCTGTGAATCAGGAATTGTGGCCAGCCAAGTGTGCTTCTGCTTTCCCAGACCCCAGCCCTTCAAAGTAACTATATGGGCTCCAGGTAATGATGGCAAATAGAGCGTATGTAATTCCTCACTTTCTCCCAAACACCTGCTGAAGTAGTAGTGAGATAGGCTTTTACTACTATTACTTAGAGACCTAGAACATATTTTACTTTACTTAGGTCCATAAACAGTTGTCACCAAGGCTAAGTGGTATGTCAGAAAGAGTCTGTTAAATTGGAATATCTGGCAGAAACATTAAGCCTGTAGCTCAATACCTTTATTTTACAGGAAGGAGACATGACTTGCAATACCCACTAATTGGCTGGCACTAGAAAATCAGATCTAGCCAGTCCAGGTACCCTAATACCTAGGGCAGTGATCTTATTGAAACACTTTGGGTACTGAACTGAAGTGTGGAGGAAAATGAAAGATAATGACAAAGGAGTAAATTAGTCTAGAAGTTCTCTTTTGACTGTTTAGCTTGAAATGCTATCTTAATTTGTTTACTCTTCATTTTTTAATTTTTAATCCAAGTTTTATTTCTTATACCCTTTGAGTAGTAGCATTCTAAAATGTATTTATGTGTATATGTGTGTGTATATATATATATATATATATATGTAAAAGTAACATATGCTCTATGTCTCTAAGTAAAATATGCTCTAGATCTCTAAATAATATGTGGCAAAAGCCTATTTCACTACTACTTCAGCAGGGGTTTTGGAGAAAGTGAAGAATTACATTATATATATATATATATATATATATGTATATATATATATATATATATAGTCGGTTGGCTTTACCACTGAATAACTTAGCATGTTTTAATTATAGTGATGTTTTAAGACCTTGGGTTAACTTTGGCTAAGGCATATGTCACCTACCTGAGGGAATAAGACTAGATCCCAGGTGTAAGAGGTTAAGTCTTTAGCTACTACAGAGCATCTATAAACCCTGACTCCCAGTTCACAGTGAAGACTGTAGTTAGGATTAAATCTTTTCTGTTTTAACCTAAACATAAGCTTTCTAATATTGCTTAGGACTTAAATAGATGTGTTTCTCTCTCATTACTCATTCATAGTGATAGTTTTTTTTAATCTCAAATCTTTCAGCAAACTTGCTTGAATCTCTCTTCTTCCTTCTTTCCTCCCTCTCTTTTTCCTCTTTTCCCTTTCTTCCTCAAGTCTCTTGTGAGGTGAGGCTTACTGTATGCCAAGTATAGAAATCTTAAGGTGGAAAGATCTGCTCTGTCCTGCAAGTGACTTACATTGCAGTGTGGAGACAGGCCCCCAGACACACTGTTTAATTCAGTGTAGCATTTATCTGAATTATCTGAGTGCTGTGGGAACAACAAGAAGAAAATCTCCCTGGTCCGAGAAGGAAAAACTTCTCAGAGGAGGAGACATTTGACCTAAGATGTAAAAACTATAGGTATTTCCAGTGGGGATGATTCTAAAGGAGCATTTTAGGCTGAGGATGCTTCCTAAGAAACATCCCAGAGGCAGAGAGATACAGTGCCAGGGAACTGTAGGTGGCTCTGTGTTACTAGAGGATAAAGGCTGGTCAGGCTAGTGGTGAGGGCCAAAGATCAAGTATGCCAAGAGAGTCTGGGTTTTCATCACTGAAGGATGGGAACCGTGGAAAAACGGTTTTGGCTTGTGATCAGCAATAGCCAGAAAAATATAGCAGTGTGTACAGCCAAGAAATCAGAAATTATTGCACACAGGAGAATCAAGAAATGCAAAAAGCAGGTAAGAAAATGAACACCTTCCTCACATCATTACACCCAGAAGAGCTTTTGGAGAGCTGTTTTTACATATCTGCAGTGGCACTTTTCTTCTCAACAAAGCATGAGATGTTACTAGGTCCAATTAATACCTGGAGCTATGGCATTTGGCTTGTTCCAAATATTCTGCTCCCAGGCTGTCTCTCACTGCTTCAGTTACAGGTCAGAGCATCTCACAATCCTACTGAGTGTTAAGTGCTGAGGAGAGGGTACAGTGTGCTACAAACTAGCCCTGCTTCCCTCCTGGTAATTAGGATACAGGATGGCTTCAGTTTTGAACATCAACCTGTTTTCTGTTTTCTTTTCTTTCAACTTTTATTTCTTCCAATCATTTCAGACCCTGTGAACTCTAATAAGAGAGATGTGGATTCTTTATTTTATGTAAATTAGAGTCATGGAATTATTAAAGCATTGATAATGCTTTCCTTTCTATAACATTAAACTTTGAAAGATGCAGAGAAAGGACCATAAAATAGTTGTTTCCACCTGTGTCATGGAATTGCTCTATTCAGTAAATCTCATTCTTAATTTGAAGTCATCTTGCCATCCTCAGAATTTAGTTGATCTTGGTGGTTTTTCCCAATACCTCCTTCTGCTAATTTCTTTATTTACTGTGCCTTTTAAAATGGACCTCATGAAGTAGCAGCCAATTGGCAATTATGTTTTGTACAATTTAAGTAAAAACACATTAATTATTTCTACACAATTAGGCAATGTTTAACACAGGAGGGGGTTCCAATGGGTAACAAACACAACCTCCGAAGAGCAATAAAGTTGGCCTAGCCTAATATTATATAAATGAATATTTACTTTTAAAAATAGCTTTTGTGTTATGAATTAGGTTCATTAAAATCATTGTGCAAATTGTGAATACTAACTTCTTTAATTTTCTACCAACACCTTTTAGCTCAACAAAAGACCCAGAGCCGTGATCTTCATATGCTACTTTCTGCAGATGCACTAGAACTGTGCTCAACAACCACATAACTTTAAAAGGGGCAAAGAAATTCAAGATGTGCTCAGAGAAGCATCATAGAAAGATAAGACTATTAGGAATGATGAGGGGAAGAAGAACCCTTCAACTTATAAGAGAAAAGGAAGGGTTATCTGCATTTTTCAGCCTTCCCTGCTTGGAAAACACTTAAACTACAAGTATTTGGATTAGATGAACTCATCTTCTGGACTTCTTTTTTCTTAACATATGGTGGCATTTCCTCTGTGGCAGTCTTTGAAAAGACTATCTCATTTGTCTGATCTCTGAATTCTCCAAAAGCTTCGCAGCCCTTAAGTTCTGGGATCCTTTAAGCTAGCTTGGAAGTCCCTGGAGAAACTAGATATTTTGGAATTAAAGAGAAAAATCGGACATTCTATTACTAAAAATATCTTTACCCAGTAAATTTGATCTTTTTTCTTTTGTATATCATCCATTCTGATTTGGCCATTTTTATTGTTACCTGTTGCTGCTCATGATAGACAGTCAACAATCATTGGTTGAACACCTACTTTTAGAAGATTCTTTTATCTGAAGCACCTTTAAAAGCAAGCTAAGCATAGACAACAGTGAAAAAGGATTGAGCCTATTAGATTTGTGCCTAAATTCCTGCAGGCACAGGCCTACGTACTATAACATAGTATCGTGTGGGATTCCTGGAGGCAGGCTGCTTTAACTTGTGGACAGTAAACAAGTGGTGTTGAGTGGTCAGAAAGAAGTCATACTCCCTTAGCCTTGGTATCCAGCAAGGGACAGATTAGTACGTAAGAAGTAAACTTCTTGACTTGAGTCCTCTGTTAGTCAGTTCCTGTCATCAGGACAAAAACACTCAAGCTAATCAACTTATAAGGAGGAAGGTTTGTTTTGACTGACACTTTTAGAGGTTTCAGCTCGTGGTTGCTTGGCCCTGTCGCTTTGAAGCTCAGGCAGCACAGTACATCGCGGCGGGAATGCCTGGTGAAATGAGCTGTTCACCTCAAGGTGGCCAATAAATGGAAGAGAAATAAAAGGAAGGAAGGGACCAGGCCCCAGCCTCCCCTTCAGGGGCACGGCCCTCGGGATCAAACCGCCTCCGCTGGACCCGCCTAATGAAAGTTCTGTCACTTCACAGTGGTGTCTAAGGCTGGCAACCAGTCCTTTCACACAGGGCCCTTCCAGGGACACTCCAAAGCAGACCCTAGCAAGTTCCGATATCTTTGTTGTTGTTTGGTATTCTGTTTTGTAAACAACAGAGACATGACTTTTAAAGTGAAAGAAAGGTGGTAGGCTGTTTCATTCTTTAACCTAAAAAGAGTAGAATATAAGATTATTATAGGGTTTCTTAGGTGTCAGAGTTTTCTTTGGTTGGATTCAGGCCTTGAGCAAGACAATCCTATCAAGTTTACTTAGAGAATATCCTTCTGTCTTAGTGCTCAGAGCCTACTGTAGATGTTATCTCAGGTTGTCCAGGGTAATCTAAAACTTTATAGTTTGAAAAAGAAAATAAACTGTTCCCATAATGGTATTCATTTGCTCTGTCCTTACTAAGGGTACACTCAATGAAGGGCAGAGATTTTCAGTATTAATAGCTGAGCTTCAAGCGATTATTTATATCCTCTTCACATTTCCTTTCAGACCTTAAAGATTGAATAGACAGGTTTAAATGAAAAATCATTAATAATGTCAATTATGGGCAATTGCTTGTTGTCTGTCTTAGTTTCCCTTAAAAATCACAGTGCTGCTGTATTAGCAAGCAGAGAAGCATGGCCCACCCTCTCTATAAAGTGTGTACTTTTGAAAACAGTTTGCCCATATAAGTCCTTTTATTGATTGAGCTTTTCATGCTGCCATAAGCTCATCTCAATAATTTTTACCCAGGAAAATTACTACTCTTGCCATCCAGCCTTTCAATTAAGTAGGCTTTGCTATGAGATGTATCATTGAGGTTTTTATTAATTTAAGCATTTTATATCAACAGAAGGTACATCATTATTAACTGGTTCAATGTGGTATCTCACAAAATACATACATGTCGTAGAAAAGTAATTAACTCCCTCATTCTATTGCAGAACAGATGTGTAGCTGAATAAGAACAGGGACCCAAGGGTACTCTTGTGCATTTATTTATTTATTTTTCAGTCATTAAGTTGTTGACTCAGAGACCTCAGTACAAGTTTCTCAAACTTTGTTGTTTTTCATCTCAGCATCTCCACCCCCAGCCACCTATGATTGAGAGTAAGTTTAGAACCATTACATGAAATTATATATACAATTTAAGCAAGATTTGATGACCAAGAGAGTTGAGAATACTTAAGATACACAGGGATTTTGTTTTTGAAAACCTGGAGATAGTTTAACAGCAGCTGTTTGGGGGCTGCAGGAGTCGGGTTAATACACAAAATGAGTGTTTGACCAGCGGCATGCCAGGAGGAAGTTAGGGGGGAACCTCATGAGTGCAGCAGGCTGTTATTGTCATTTCTTTTTTTCCTCTCTCCCCTTGCAGTAACAGCTGTAATTTTGTATTTCTCCAGCACATTTTCTCTTGCCTAGGCCCTAAATGATCTACAGGTTTCCACTCTGTGCCCCTGGAATTCTGGTTATACAGAAAAGTCAGAGACTGTTTTCCAGAGGAGTCTCTTCTGCAGCTCCCCACTCTCTTACAGAGGGGAGCTCCAGCCTCTGTAGCGGTCAGCAGGTCCCTGCATGGCCTGGTTTCTGTTCATCTGTCTGGTCTCAGCTCAGTCTCGTGGTTGGAACCTGCCAGGTTCTCCCTTGCCCTGGGGGCTTGAGCTTGGCTTCTCTCTGCCTGAAACAGTCTTCCTGCAGCTTTGTGCTCGTGGGCTTTCTATCCCTCTTTAGCTTTCGGTTTCAACCCCTTCTCCTCAGGGAGACATCCTCAGCCATGCTGAGAAAATCACACGTCTCTCTCCTTGTTCTTTTCTGCTATGTCTTTATTTTCATGAAAGCGTGAACAAGCAGTGCAGGCTGTGTGTTTTCTGCTGCCTTGCTTACTAAGAATGACCTTATCATCTTGCGCTGTGGTGTGTCCTCAGTGCCAAGCATGGTGCTTGATAAATGTGAATTGCATGAGTGGCTTAAGTGAATAAATACTGCCCTTAGCTTACCATTAGTTAAGCTCTATAGGATGTTCCAAATATCAGCATTACCTTCTGCTTCACAATGGTTTTGATTCACAAAATACTTACTTGATAGTTTAAACAGTAGACTCTCAAAAAGGTATATTCTTATCTGTTCTACCTTCAGCAGTTTTTACCATGACCTAACCCACTTCCCCAGACCAAGTTGTACGCAATTACATGCAAACCACCAAATAAAAAGACAAGATGTACATTTCCAATTATCATCGTGATAGAGTCCTTTCTGTATGTAGTTCATGCCGCTCTGGCATTCTTTGCCCCTCCCAGAAAGCACACATTTCTAGGGTTGGGAAAGATTTTAATAACACTGGCCTGGTTTAGTGGTAAACTTAGATATGAGTTTTCTAGCACATGAATATTATCTACATGATCCTGTTGGAGATCTGTATAATTTTACAGTTAGCAAAGTAAAAGAGTCATTCCATACAGGCCCATAAGCCCAGATTGAAGAGAACTTTGGAGCCCACAAATGAGAACTTTGCTCTACAGTATTTCTGCTGGGTGGGGGTCAGACTTCATGTGAACATTTTTAGTAGAGATGTGGGCACACTGTCTTTGAGAAGATCATTCACACTACTGCTGAGCCCCTGAGATTATAAAGTTAATTGACCTTATGAGCTGAAAGCTGCCTCTTCTAACTTACTTCATGGTCTTAGTTCACCCCATGGAGCATTGTAGAAAGAATAAATAGGTTCCTTTATTCCAACTAACAGTCTCCAAGTACTGGAATATTTGAGGCAGCATGGTGTAGCAAAGAGCACTCAGATTTTGAAGTATGCCATTGGGAGATCTACTCCATCTCCATTACTTTTTAGCTACTTGAACTCCAGGAAGTTCTTCCTCTTCCTTAACTACGCACTTGTCCTTTATTAATTAGGGACTGAGATAATTTTTTAACTTATACTTTTTGAGACAATTAAATGAGATTATTAAAATAACAGTAATCCTCAGTAAATACTGTTGTTGTTTTTATTATTATTTCATGTGCAGCTAGCCAGCTGTCTGAAATTTAACCTCCCCTATAGAATAAGGAAAATTATTTTTTGGTTCATGCCTGTAATCCCAGCATTCAGAAGTTGAGGCAGGAGTTTGAGGAGTTCACTGTGAGTTCAAGGCTGGTCTGTCCTAGAGAGTGAGTTCAGGGACAGCCTGAAATATGTAGTAAGACCCTGTCTCAAAAAAAAAAAAAAAAAAAAATTATTTTTATGGAGACTGATCCAGAGTTGACATCAACTAACCCTAAAATGTGGCTGATTGTTTACCAACCAGGAATCTATACATGCATTCACATTATCTTATACACAGAATAGCAGGACTTTATTAAGTCTTTGTTGGAATCAAACAGTGTGGTGTTAGCAATACCTATCTGAGATACTTGAGCAATATCCATGAAAAAATGAGTTCAGATTGGCAGGATTTGTTCTTGGTGCCTTGTGCTGCCTCTAGTAAATGTCACTTTTTTTTTTTTTAACGTGTGAGTAGGCACTAGTCAAAGATTGGAGGTACGTTATCTACTGGGAAGCTTCCAGTATGCAAACTTTTATTTGTGTGTGTGTGTGTGTGTGTGTGTGTGTGTGATGGGGACCATCATTACCACCAGTGTGGTCTCCCACTGCCACATCCTCTCAGTTCTTCGGAGAAGAATGGTAATATCTCATGACCATATTTACAGAGTTCCTTTACTGCCTTGGGTTGTAATTCTCTTGAAATTAAGGATGTGAAATTGTCTAAACTGGCTCCTTCTTCTGTTTCCTATTTGAGAATAATTTCTTTTAAGAGAAATGTTGTGGGTGGGAAGAAACTAAGGGCCACCTAGCTTTCTGTTACCTGTTGATGTGTGCCACTTTGTCCAAGGAGTAACTGTCACTTCCCTTCTTCCTTGCTTTAGAAAATGCTGCCCTATTTCCCACAGGCTTCGGACATTCAGCATTGCCTTCCTCGTGTTTTTCTTACAGACTGTGAGAGTCCTTGTGTTTTCTGCTCTTTGCCTCCGTGGTGGTGGCCCAGCTCACAC